GAGAGGGCTAGGAAGGAGCCTGCCCCAAGCCAAGATGGCGAGAGGTGGTCCATTAACCGATTAGCAACAAATCTTCATCTGATCGATGGTAAGCACAGGCTGCACGCAACCCAGGTAGAACAACCAAGAAGTCGAACATGGCGCGTTTGGCTCTGACGGTTTACTGAGACGTCGCCACGATCGGTCCTATTCCTCTTCCTCCTCCACCTCCCTCTCCCCTGCTCCCGCCGCGCACGTGTTCAGATCGAACCATTCTGGCCCAGGGTGCGGCAACAGATGCACCTCGGCCGCTCCCGACGACCTGTTGCGCCCTGGGCCGCGATTACTGGTGAGGAGGAGGAGGGGACGGAGGAGGAGGAGGACGAGGAGGAGGAGGAGGAGGAGGAGGGAGGAGGAGGAGAAGGAGGACCGAGGAGGAGGATCGAGGAGGTTTGTTCGTCCCCGTAGCAGTGGCAAGGAAAACTTAAGAACTGATGACAACCACCACGCGTCTGAGCTCCGTGAGTCCACACGTCGGCTCGGCGCGGAGAAGACGGGGCGCGCTGCCTGTCAGCCTTTCTGGGCCACTTCTGGTCCTGGAGCCTGGGGCTCGAGGTCTGCAGCAACTGCGCGGGCGGGAAGGGCCGTTTTTTCAAGGTGGGGCTCTCGCCGCGGCGACGCGCGGGCTCGTCTGAAAACGATGTGCGGCAGATGCGCAGATGGAGGGGTGCTGTTCTGGAAACGGGGCCCTCGCCGCAGCGCCACGCAGATGTGAGCAACAACTACAGGGATGGAGGACATCGATCTCAAGATGGGGCTCTCGCCTCAGTGCCGTGCACATTCGCCCTACAACTTACAACAACTTCAGGGATGAGGTGGTGGTGGTGTTTACACCCCTTCGCGGCAAGACACCTAAACAGTTCTCGAGACTACTACATTGAGGACTCTTGAACGTACTACAGACATGAAGCAGTAGCACAGAGAGTTCCCGAGAGAATGCAGAAAGGAAACCATAACGGAGACCATAAGAGGAGGCCAAAAGGAAGACCATACCAATGATCATAGGAACTACCGACCATGCAGGGGACCAGGGATACCACAAGACACTGATTCTGGATCTGGAGAAGCTCGCACACAGCCTGAGAAGAGATATTCAGGAACTTTACAGGGACGCCTTCAAACGAAACTTTGGGTCTCGCCCAAGCGCCGCGCACATTCGCCTTACATCTTTCGAACAACTACAGTGATGGAGCGGGGGATTCACACTAGGGCTCTCGCATTAGCGCCACGCGCATTGAACTTCTCAACGCTTGCGGCCGTCATAAGGGCGGAAGGGGAGCTGCTTTCAAAACGGGCTCTCACTTTAGCGCTGCGCGCATTCGTCCGAAATAGGTGCAGCAACTCCAAGGGCGGAAGTCGGTCCTTTTCAGAATGTGGCTCTCGCTTAATACTTCCCGGTCTCTCGCTCTCCCTCCCTCTCTCTCTCTCTATACATATGTCTGCTAGAACACCGCGCGCGCTTCGCGCGTGCTTGGTTTCTAGCATGTTCTTGTTGTAGTCGAAAGTGTTCGGCGTCGGAGGACATACGGTGTCACACGGATCGTGTCCCTCATTGGAGCTCTACCGACAACACCAAACACATGCTGGGCTTAGAGTCCCTCCGCCCATGCTAGCACACCCCTCAAAGGGATCGCGCCCACAGGGATCTCCACCGACGTCCCCAGAGACAAGTTTCGCATAGTGGCACGCCCCTGACGCGGACCGTGCCCAGCAAGTAACTGCATTTGCGGCACCAGAGGGAAGCATCATTGCGTTGCCAGGCTTACTTTTTCACACCTCTCACGCGGGTGGTGGCCCGCAGGGGGTTCCATGGACGGTCCCAAAGGCAAGGTTCGCATGCCGCCCCCCTGCCTAGTTCGGCACACCACTCGCACGGATCGTGGCCCACAGGGATCTCCACCAATGGCCCCAGAGGCAGGGTTCGCATTGCGATCACCCGCCCATTGCGGCACACCCCGCCACGCGGATCGCCTCTTGGGGTGCTTTGTGCAATATGGGGAGCGTCTTGGGCAGTGTTGGAGTGACGGCGGGAAGCACGAGCAACAACGGGGAAATACTTGAGAACCTCTTGCTCGGATGACTGCGGCGACAATCACGTTCCCAGAAAGCTCTCCAGGAACCTGACGGTTGCGGCCGTGTGGGGGTCCTCGTGGAGACCTCTGTAGGTCCCTGTCGGGGTGGTGATGCTCATTTGATGGGCCTTGTGGGGCTCCTCGGAAGCGTGTAGAACCCATTTGGGGTGTCGAGGCTCGTTTTGGCGCCTTCTTGGGCCCTGTGGGCCTCCTTTAGGGCCCTGGTGGCGTGTCCAAGCTATTTGGAAGGCTGCCTTGAGCCCTCTTGAGCCCTCTTGGTCGATCTTGGGCGCCTCCTGGGCCGTCTTGGCGCCCTCTTCGGGTGTGTTGGGGCCCTCCTGAACGCTCCCTGTGCCATTTCTGGGCGTCGGGCAGCAGAGCAGGCGACCACACGCAAATCCTTAAATACTATCACGACATCAATGATTTACGCCCGTGGGCATCTCTCGGAGAGCACTTTGGAGCTCTCTTGGGGCGTCTTGGAAGCCACGTGGGCCGTCTCGAAGCAATGGTCGGCGTGCTGTGGGCGTTTTGGTGCCCTCTGGGCTCCCTTGAAGGCCCTTTGTGGTGCCCCCTGCGCCCCGTTGAAGCTCTAATGGCGGGTCGCGGCTCGTTTGGCCCCCCATGCCACACAGGGGCAGCGGTCGGGCCCTCCCCGGAGCCTGCTCATCTGTATGTGTATGTGGTATATACACACGTATGTGTATGTGTATACACACATCTGTGTACACCATATGTATACATTTAGGTGCGTTTTATATATACATATATATATATGTATATATATATATAGGAATATACTAAAGCCATCGCGCGCGCTTCGCGCGCTCTCAGGTTCTTGGGCAGCACTATCAAGCACAGGCGCGTGACATAGTCGTGCCTCCTGAAGGCTTCTTGGGGACCTCTTGGGTCTTCGTGGGGGCATCTGAAGGGCTTCTGGGGGGTTCTCCGTGTTTCCTCAATTTGGCTGTTGGAGGCACCTTTTGGGTGCTTCTCGGTGGGTCGTCTTGGGCCTTCTTGGGGTCCCTTGGGAGCATCGTGGGGGTTCTCCGGGCAATCCGAAGGTGATGTTCTGCAAAATGAGGCCGTCATTGGCCGTTGTGGCACCGTGGAGGCCTGGCTTGAGGCCCCCTGGGGCCACGCTGAGGCGATCCGGAAGACTCCCAGGGGCCTCCTGGAGGCAGTTTTGATGCATCGAGAGTGCTGTTGGGCTATCTTGAGGCCCTTTGTGCATCTCCTGGGGGCCTTTGGGGGCCTCTTGGGAAGCTTTTGGGGGCCTCGTTGGACCACTTGGGGACTCTTGGGGCCTTCTGTGGGCCTCTTAGGGCGGAAAGCTTTGCTGTTGGGTTTGCGATCCCTTTCTTGGGCCTCTCTTGGGACCGTCTTGTGGCCATCTCGGGCCGTCTTGGGCGCCTCAGGCACCATCTTAGGGCCCTCGTGGGCCGTCCTGGGGCTCCTTGGAGGCCTCTTCTGCTATCTTGGAGCGGGCTTGGGGGCCTCTTGGGCCGTCTTGGAGCGATGCCAAGAGGCTGCAAACTCTACAATGCGTCAACAACACTGACGGGCAAGCCATGAGTTCTGCCTCTTCGGTCCTTCTTGGGAGGCCTCTTGGAACCTCTTCGGCCCTCTGTGGAGCTTCTTGAGGGCCTCTTGGATCCTAATGGGGGCCTCTTGGGGGTTCCTGAAAGCCTCTCGGGATGGAAGACTCGGATTTTCGGTTCGTTTTACCCCTTCTGAGGCCCCTCTTAGGGCCGTCTCATCCAAAAACGTTGTTAGCTCTTGGGGGCACATGTTTTACTTCCGCCGCCTTCCGCGGAGCTTCCGTCGGCGGAGGCGTCGTCGCTCACCTCCGCCGACCTTCCGCCGCCTGCCGCCGCGGAAGAGATGACAACTCGGTCGAGCCTCGAAGGCGGGGCCCCTTCTGGAACGCTCCACGTGCTGCGACGACGGCAGCTTAGCTGTTTAGGTTGCGCGGCTCTAGCTTGCTCCTGTTTTAACCAGTAGGCCCGCGCCCCGGACTTACGACTCGCCGCTTGCGCTCTCGCCTGCGGCTGCGACCCCAAAAAGTGTTGCGACGACGGGCTCTCGACCTCGAAGGCGAGCCTCGAAGGCGGGGCCCCCTCTGGAACCCTCCACGTGTTGCGACGACGGGCTCTCGACCTCGAAGGCGAGCCTCGAAGGCGGGGCCCCCTCTTAAACCCTCCACGTGTTGCGACGACGGGTCCTCGAGCCCCTCACAGCTCGCAGGGCGGATGCAATCGGAACCCCTTGCCACGACGCGCCTCTCGCCCGAGCGGCAGGCCCACAGGGCGCCCGTTTTCCGAGGGGGCGCGGGAACTGACGTGGAGGGGACCACTGGGACGGGATGGTGCAGTGCGGCATCGTTGGCGCTTCCTGGGTTTACTCTGGTCCTCCCCACCACCCTCCCCCTCCCCCTCCTCCTCCCCCGCCTCCCCCGCCTCCCCTCCCCCTCCCCCTCCCCTCCCCCTCCCCCTCCCCCTCTCGTCCTCCTCCTCCTCCTCCTCCTCCTCCTCCTCCTCCTCCTCCTCCTCCTCCTCCTCCCTTCGCTCTCCCTCTCCCGTCCCTCTCCTCCTCCCCACCCCCTCCCCTTTCCCTCTCACCTCCTTCCAGTCCCTCTTCCTCCTCCTCCTTTTCCTCCGACTCCGCCTCTCTTCCTTCTCCCCTACCCCCTTCCTCTCCTCTTCCTCCTCCTCCTCATCCTCCTCCTCCTCGTCTTGCTGTTCTTCTTCTTCTTCGTCCTCCTCCTCCTCCCCTTCCTCCTCATCCTCTTTATCTAGATCTCGTCGTGGTGTCAGCCCTACCTGGGTGTGCACAACCTTATACAACGCCTGCTGCCGTAGAGCAGATTTGAATGCCGCGAGTGTCTTCTCAAGACTCTGCGGCCCCCTTGCCCTTGCCCTTCACCTTCTCCTGTGGAATTTCCAAGTCGGTGTGGCGGTAGAAGCACCTGGGCAGGGGAGTGCTGTAAGGAGGATCATGTCGACAAGGCTGGGATGGCAATCTAATGTCGAACTACCTGCAGCAAGGCTTCCAATGGTCTAGCTGACACGCGCTTCTTGCAATAATCGGGAGGAGGCTGACTGCCTTCGTCAAGGGGCGGTCATTATATTGGACAATCTCCTGGGGCTCTTTGCGATTCGCGTGCTTACGTGCGCACGCACAACCAAATGTATGGCCAGTCTTGCAATACGCAATTTCGCCGTGGACAGACAACACCTGTCATTCAGTAGATCCTTGACCTGGCCACTGACTGGCTTCCCCTCTTCCTCCTTCTCCTTCACCGCCTCCTCATACCTCCGTCTGTCCACCGAGGTAGGCCGAGGCGTGGTGGGCCAGAACTGGCGGAGCGACATGCTGAGCCACAATTCCTGACCGTAGAAAGGGCAAACAGACGACAGGGATCCGCTCTTTGGCGAGCGTGGCTCCTCCCTCCCTCCACCCCTCCCCTGGCCCCCGACGTCAAGAATTGTTCACAACGTCGACCCCCAGCCCCCAGAGGCTGAAAATAGCGAAACACCTCCCGTCGTGTTGTTTTCCTGACTCGAGGGGGGCTGGAAGCCCTCGTCGCGCTGCCGCGCCCGTCAACGCCCTGCCTCCGCCCGCCGCGAGGGCTTCGCAGGCCCAGGGGGGGGGGGCGGCACTTGTCGCCGTGCTTGCAGCCCTCGGGGCTGGCGAAGTTCTTGCACGGCGCCACCTCCGGGAGGAGGAGGAGGAGGAGGAGGAGGAAGAGGAGGAGGAGGAGAAGGAGGGGGAGGCGGAGGAGGAGGAGGAGGAGGAGAAGGAGGAGGAAGGGGAGGCGGAGGAGGAGGAGGAGGAGGAGGAGGGGAGGGCGGAGGAGGAGGAGGAGGAGGAGGAGGAGGAGGAGGAGGAGGAGGAGGAGGGGAGGGGCGGAGGAGGAGGGAGGAGGAGGAGGAGGAGGAGGAGGAGGAGGAGGGGGAGGAGGAGGAGGAGGAGGAGGGGAGGCGGAGGAGGAGGAGGAGGAGGCGGAGGAGGAGGAGGAGGAGGCGGAGGCGGAGACGGAGCCCCCCCCCCCCGTGAGCCCAAGCGGTCAGCCGACCGCCACGGCGGACGGTCGGCCGTGCAGTCAGAGCGCACGGCGGCCTCCGACCGGCGCTCTCCGTGCGCCTGGCGCCGAGCAGGCGTCCGTGCTCCCCCTAAAGCAGCGCCAGACATGCTCGCGTCGCGAACAAAACAGGACGGGAAGATTTTGGCAACTTGGGGCCTCCAGGGGGCCCTCACCGGGCCCCGGGACCGTCTATCTCAACTCGGGGTGAAAACCGGCCCCAGGGAAAGGGTCGGGACTTCAGGGGACCACGTACTGAACAAATCAAGACAGCGCATGTCTGGGAGGGGGAACGCTACGGTGAGGGCGCTGGATAAGGAACCATTGCACAAGGAATCCAGGGTCTGTTAGCTGGTGGAGCTCCATTCGGGGGGTGGCCACCGATATCACCGCCGCACTCATTAGATATGGGGAATCCTCCGGGGCTGAAGCCTCCTGGGCACATGCCTTGGCGAACGCCCCCACCGTATGGGGGGGGGGCAGCTCAGGTCGGCCGTGGGCCCCCCCGCTAGCAACTCCGCACGTTCCTGAGTAGGCGGGGTGGGCAATCGGGCCCCTATCGGTGATGAACGGGCGATTGGAGGATCGACTTGCTCCTGCGAGTTCCCAGGCCCGAGCTGGATCAACTCGCGAAATCAAATCGGACTGGACACGGATCGGATTGTTCACTGCACCGACCTTGCAGACGTCCTGCAGCGGATTCTGCCAATGCAAAATCCCGAAACTGCGAGCGAAAAACGAAGTGAATTTCACGTGGATTTTTTGTGGTCTTCATTCCTGGCCCAAAAAAATCCGCACAAGCTTCACTTCGAATTCCGGAGCGAAATTCTCCAGGACAATCCGGGCCCATCCCAATGTTTTCCGAGACAAATCCGCTCTGCGACGTTGGCGCCAAGAAAATGTGCTCACATCGGCGCAGGCCGAAGAGGGGGACCGACCCGTCCCAGATCGGAACCGGAGTCGGAAGCGAACTCGGAGCCTGGGCATCGGATCGGACCGAACCGCACCGTGAGCAACCCTGCCTCCCCAGACCCCCGACGTCATGAGCTTTCCATAACGTCGAGCCTCAGAGGTCTCTACTTCTTCCCCGGGACTGGCTGTTCATCCTGAGCCGCTTGTTGACGGTCCCGAGGCCTGGTGAGGGCCAACAGAGGCCGAACCTAGAGAAGAACCTGCCGTCGTGAGTTGTTCCTGATTCTAGGGGGTCTGGCTCCGCCCCCACCGGCGCCCAAGGCAGTGCCCAGAGGCCTCCAAAATGGGGTCCGAGTAGATGGGGTCGAAGGATCGCCGATGCATCGCCAACGCATCGCCGATGCATCGCCAACGCATCGCCGATGCATCGGCGACGCATCGGCGATGCATCGGCGATAGGTCGGCGACGTCGGCGACGCATCGCCGACTCCAGCTGCGCCCGGGCCGCCCCAACGAGCTCGCCACCCGGGCCGCGCGGCAGGCGCCGCGGCCCCCTGGAGAGGGCCAGCCCGCGGTCGGGGACGGCGTGTCGCGACGGCGGCCCAGGCGAGGGGGACCCTGAATTGAGCAGGGAATGGCCGTCCTGGGATTCCTATAGGCTTACCACGAGCTGTTCTGAGAACCCAGGAATGTTCTAAGAACAAGAGCAAGGTTCTTAGAACGTGCGCCCGAGGTGTCAAAACAAAGCGGTCTCAGCCAGAAATGTTTAAAGAACACTTGGTGCAGAGCACAAAAGATTCTCAGAACATTCCTTCGTGGGCCCATAGGCCAGCCAGGACGCCTCGCCACTGCTCGACTGACGGCGCCGGCACCACATCCCCAAGCCCTTCCCGCAGCTCCTCCCGGCCGGCTGCCCGAGAGCCGCGCCCCGGCCGCGCTCTGACGAAGGGGGTACCCGAACGCCCCAGAGCTGAGAGGCAGGAGGGCGCTGCACTTACGGTAAGATATACAGTTACGGTTGGCGTACGTTTGTTTTTTTGCTTAGCATGTCGCGACGGCGGTTTTGGCGACAAGACATGCCTTGCAAGCGGATGGTGTGCCATTATTGTTAGTACTATGCTTTATATTGCTACAATTATCTCATCAGTGGTAGTATAGCGATTACCCGTATTAGTATCACTAGTAGTCGTATGTTTATTCGGATTAGTGTTCTTATTACTACTATTCGTTATACTATTACTCGTCTCTCTAGCATTCGTAGTACTATGATCACTATTTCTACTACAACAACAACAACTACTACTACTACAACTACTACAACTACTACTACTACTACTACTACTACTACTATTACCAACTACTCCTACTTCCCATTACTACTACGACTACTATATCTTCTACTACTACTACTACTACTACTGCTGCTGCTGCTGCTGCTGCTGCTGCCCGTACCCGTACTCCTACTCGTACTCCTACTCCTACTCCTCCTGCTACTACTAATCTTACAACATCATCAACAACAACAACAACTACTACTACTACTACTATTAAAACAACGACTACTACTACTACTACTACTACTACTACTACTGCTACTACTACGACTACTCCTACTACTACTACTACTACTACTGCTGCTGCTACTACTACTGTTACTACCACTACTACTACGACTACTACTACTACTACTACTACTACTACGACGTCTACTGCTAGTACTAAGACTACTACTACTACTACTACTACTACTACTACTACTACTACTACTACTACTACTACTACTACTACTACTACTACTACTACTACTACTACTACTACTACTACTACTACTACTACTACTACTACTACTACTACTACTACTACTACTACTGCTACTACTACTACTACTACTGCTACTACTGCTACTACTACTACTACTACTACTACTACGACGACGACGACGACCGACGACGACGACGACGACGACGACGACGACGACGACGACGACGACGGACGACGACGACGACGACGACGACGACGACGACGACGACGACGACGACGACGACGGACGACGACTACTACTACTACTACTACTACTACTACTACTTACTACTACTACTACTACTACTACTACTACTACTACTACGACTATTACGACTACTTCTACTACTACGACGACTACTACTGCTACTACTGCTACTACTACTACTACTACTACTACTACTACTACTACTACTACTACTACTACTACTACTACTACTACTACTACTACTACTACTGCTCCTACTACTCCATGTACTACAAATACTGTTAGCACGACTGCTATTCATTATCCGCAGCCCTTGTGCTAGCCTGGCAGCATGAAATCAAATCAGAGTTCAGGGGCCTTTATTCCTAATATGGGAAGGAGGCCCCGACTCATTCGGGAGATGACACATTTGGCCGCCATAATCGGAAGCCTACACTCGACCAAGAGCTTTCGGGCATGCTCGGCGCAGATAACCCCGTACGCAATCCAAAACAGGCTGCCTCGGATGACCTCCAGGGTGTTTTACCTCCAGCACTACGGTGTCCACAAACGCCCCGTGCAGCCAGTGGCGGATCCACGCGATCAGGACGGATATCATCAGCAATGCGGCGGGTGAAAGTTCCAGAATCTCTCAAAGGACGGCGCCAACAAGGCCAGGCATTAGACAAAGACCCGCCCCGAGGAAAATAACAGGTGCACTGAAGGCACCCAAAACATAGGCTTTCACCTCCGGGCCATGCCCACTAGCAATGAGCCTGAGGGCGGTGGGGCGAATGCGGAATTACACGCTGGGTGGCATGTAGCCAACGAGCGACTTGGGACGCCAACTCGTCCGCATCATGGGTGACCTTGGCAAGGTCAGGAGGGGTGGCATGCTCGACAGCGCCTGTGGAAGCAAAACAGTCAGCAGCGCGATTCAACAACAATTCGCTAGGCCATTAAACAAAAAGGTTATCCATCTAAGATTGCATGGGGCGAGCCTTCGCCCACAAGAGCATGGCCGTGCCATCCCTACGGGCAAGAGGCTCGCGAGCACGGACTTCAGTGTGCCCAATGGGCGCCGGGAGCTCTTAGTCACCATCGGACAATCGGAATGCGCCATCTATCTCACCAGTAGAGCGTTCAAGCCGTTGTATGAGAGCATGGAGTTCAGCTCTGGAAGAGCTCTGCCTAATCGGGGGGGGGGCGGGGCGAGGGGGTCGAGGCCGCCGTCGGGTCCGCGTCGGCACATGGACCACGGGCTCCTCCTTGGCCTCCAGTCCTTAGCGCGCTCGCCCCCAGAACCGTCGATCCTCCAGGTCCTTCCAACGACCTCGGCCTCAGCGCGACATCGGCGCCATGTCCGAGACAGCGCTGTTTTCGGGGGTGGCGGGTTGGGCGAGGTAGTGGGGGGGGCATCGACCCCCCGTGCCAGAAGCAAGTCAGGTGCTGTTCATTCTCAACGCACCCTGTAAATCAATCAGCCTGGGCAACGATCTGAACCGGGGCCTCCGCGTTGCGCTGGTGCAGCCGGGCGCGGTGCAGCGGGGTCTCCTTGACATCTCGTCGAAGCGCGTTGAGCGACGGCGAGTCGACCTTCGGTCCAAAATGCTACAGAGACAATGTTACGTGCCGCGCCAGCAACTTCGATTTCGCCATGGCGACTCATTCTCTTGAGAATGCACTGGGCCACCGAAAACTCAATGCCCTCCTGGCCCCCCCCCCCCCCCTA